TGGAGCAGGTCAGCTAGCAACATGTTCTTTCAGGTTTTGTTTATCTAGGAATGTCTTAATTTCTCCTTCATTTTTTTTTTGAAGAATAGTTTTGCTGGATATAGAATACTTGATTGACCATCTTTTTCTTTCAGCACTTGGAGTATACCATCCCATTGCCTTCTGGTCTCTATGGTTTCTGATAAGTCAACTGATTATCTTACTGAGGAGTCTTTGTACATGCTGAATCACTTTTCTCTTTCTGCTGTCAAAATTCTCTTTGTTCTTGTCTTTGGACACTTCAAGTCTGAAGTGCCTATGTTTGGATATCTTTGAGTTTATCCTACTTGGAGTTTGTTGAGCTTCCTGGGTGTACAAATTAATGTTTTCATCAAATTTGGGAACTTTTCAGTTGTTATTTCTTCAGATATTCTTTCTGCCCACTTCTTTTTTTTCCCCTTCCTCCTGGGACTCCTATTATGTGCATATTGGTATTGTTGATGGTGTCCCACCTCTCTCTGAGGCTGTGTTCATTTTTCTTCATTACTTTTTCTTTCTGCTCCTCAGACTGAATAATCTCAGTAGACCTAGTTTTAAATTAGCGGATTTTTTTTTTCCCCCTGCTGGTCATCTGCAGAGGAACCTCTCAGTGAACTTTTCATTTTAATTATACTTTTGTATCTCTAGAATTTCTACTTAGTTCTTTTAACAATTTTTTATATTGATATTCTCTGCATGGTGAGATGTTCACATAGTTTAATTCTTTAGGCAGAGTTCCTATCAGGTCCTCAACCTATGTTTAATTGCTTATTTAAGTTTTTGTCTAGTCAGTCCAATATCTAGGTTTCCTCAAGGACCAGTTTCTATTGACTGCTTTTTTGCGCCTGTGTTATGACCAAAATTTTGTTTCTTTGTGTATCTTGTAATTTTCTGTTGAGAACTGGGCATTTTAAATATTAAAATGTGGCAGATCTAGAAATCCTATTTCCCCTCTTCAGAGATGTGGCTTCTGTTGTCATCACTGCTGCTGTTCATTCAGTTACTTTCCTGAACAAATTCTGTAAAGTCTTTATTTTTTGTTGCATGTGACCATGAAGCCTGTGTTCAATAAGCTTAGTTGTCAGCTAATGAATGGACAGTGATTTCTTTAAATGCTGGGAACCAGTCATTCTTGGAGCCTTTGCCAAGTTGCTCTGTGTGTGTCTATGGGGAATGCCTTCAGCACTTTAGCAGGCAGTTTGCAGACTTCTTGCGCCTTTACTCCCCACTTATACAGAACCTCAAAGCCAGCCAGAGATGAGGGATTAAGGTTTCCTCAGGCCCTTACTGGCCACATGCACTGTCCTACGCATGCACATGGCCTTCTACAATCCTAGGAATTAATTGGAGCTTTTTATTTTTTTAAAGATTTTATTTATTTATTTGACAGAGAAAGACACAGTGAGAGAGGGAACACAAGCAGGGGGAGTGGGAGAAGGAGAGGCAGGCTTCCCGCTGAGCAGGGTGCCTGATGCGGGGCTCGATCCCAGGACCCTGGGATCATGACCTGAGTCGAAGGCAGATGCTTAATGGCTGAGCCACCCAGGTGCCACCCCCACCCCCCAGCACCATTTTTGAAAAGACTGTTCTTTCCCCATTTGATTGTCTTAGCACCATTGTCAAAAACCAATTGGCTAGAGGTGTAACAGTTTGTTTATGGACTCTCAATTGTTTTCCATTGATCTCTATGTCTGCCCTTTTTGCAAATACATACTATATTGATTACTGTAGCTTTGTTAATAAGTTTTGAAATTGAAAACTTCAAAACTTTTTCAAGATTGTTTTGGCCATTTTGGGTCCCTTACATTCCATGTTAATTTTAGGATTAGTTTGTCCATTTCTGTAAAAAAGCCAGAATTGCATTAAATCTCAGGTCAATATTAAGACTTCTGATCTATGAACATAGAATGTCTTTCCATTTATGTAGGTTGTCTTTAATTTCTATTAATAAACTATTTTGTAGTTCTTACTATTTTGTATTTAAGTTTCACACTTTTCTCAAATTTATTCTAAGTATTTTATTCTTTTTGATGCTATTATAAATGAAATTGCTTCCTTCATTTCATTTTTGGATTATTCATTGCTAGTGTATAGAAATATAATTGCTTTTTGTGTATTGATTTTGTGTCTTATAACCTTGAGGGGCCGGCTTATTAATTCTAATAGTTCTTTGGTACATTTCTTAGAATTTTAATATGCAGTGTCATGTCATCTCGAATAAAAAAAGTTTTACTTAACTCCTTTCCAGTCTGGAGGCTTTTAATTTATTTTCCTTGTGTGGTTCCCATGATTAGACTCTCCAATACAATATTAATCTTAAGAGGGAAACATTTAGCCCTTCACCAGTAGGGATAACATTTGCTGTGGGTTTTTCATAATTGTTCTCTATCAAGTTGAGAATCTCTTCTATTCTCAGTTTTTATTTGTTACTCTGTTAAAATGGCATATTACATGAATTGATTTTTGTATGTTGAACTATCCTTGCATTCCTGGATACATCCCATTGGATCATGATTCTTTCTATATGTTACTGGATTTGATTTGCTAGTATTTTGTTGAGGATTTTTGCATTTGTATTCATAAGAAATAATGGTCTATAGTTTTTCTGTGACGTCTTGGTATGATTTTGGTATCAGTGTAACATTGGTATCATAGAATGAATTGGGAAGTGTTCCCACTTCTTTATTTTTAGAAGGGTTTGTGAAGCATTTGTGTCAGTTCTTTAAATGGTTGATAGAATTCACCAGTGAAGCCATCTGGGCCTAGGCATTTCTTCATGGGAATTAAAAAA